CAGCTGTAGCTGAGGAAATAAGATCATATAGAACAGGAGTCCTCAAACTGCGGCCCACCGGCCACATGTGGCCCGCCCAGAACATTTATCTGGCCCGCCAGGTGGTTTTGCCACCGCTGCCTGTCCTGCTTAGCAGCCGACTTGTCCTGGACCCACAGTGCGCATGTGTGGAATGTGCACCGCACTCTCCAATGGCCCTCCAACGGTCTGAGGGACAGTGAACTGGCCCCCTGTTTAAAATGTTTGAGGACCCCTGATATAGAACAAGCAGGATTGAACAGACCACCCCTGTCGGCAAAGTAATTCTAAAAGACAAGATTGGGGAAACAAGAAGAGTAATAATAATAATTAGTGAGATAGATTCCCCTAAAGTATCTGAACTCCAACAAGGAATGAGCACAATTATCCTGATTTTCCAGACAAGGAACGGGCACAAAGGGTTTAAATCACCTGTCCAATATCGTATAGTTGATTACTGTGACTCATTGCTTGAATCTAGTCTCCAGAATTGTTTCTCCTCCATTCCAAGTCACCAACTTTGCAAAGGAATCTGTTGACAGGCACAATGTGATAACTTACAACCTATCAATTATATTTGTCCTCCCTCCCCAGCTCAGCCTCCTGCCTCTCTAAGGACAGCAGCTGCTATCAGGTGTCTAAGAGGGTTCATAATCTACTGAAGTCCCTGAGCAGAGAACTTGAAACAAATTCTGTGCAAGGGCCAGAGAGAGCATTAGAGCCCTATATAAAGCATGCTAATTGGAGATCTATAAAACCCAGCAGAGTACAGCAAGAAGAGTTCAACATTACCCCTTTTGAAAATGCCGTCTTCTTGAGCTCTAAACAGCCAAGAGGGAGCTAAATGAAAGAAATGTCTTATCTACTCTTGTGCCTTGGAGAGTGGAGGGGGACCAAATTGTAAAGTGGCTTCCTACTATTGAGATAGGAGAGGCTTAACAGACTGTCCCTATGTCTTACACCTAAAAAGCAAGAAATCTCTTTGCTTTTTCCCAGATATAGGATTTCCACAATTAAAGACATTCCAACAACTAAATCTGAGTCCCAGTGAGTCAACAGAGAGAAACCCCTACCCTTCTTGGGAGACCAAGCAAGCTAGAGAGGTGGACCAGGTAAATCCACACTCCAGGCAAACCCACACTGTGAAATACTCCAGGAAGAGAGATGAGCACCAGAATGACAAGACAATAAAGGCACTTATTATAAAGGTGATTCAAATGCAAAAGACATCCTGGAACTTAAAATTAGGATTCTTGAACCATGAAATTCAATGAAAGAATTAAAGCTGAGAATGACTTAACTATTGCAATGACAATTTGCAGCCTGGAAGATGAATGCAGGAAGTATCTCAAAGCACAAAACGGTAAGAAAAAAAATAGGGAAATCACAAAGGAAAACATTAAGAGACTAAAACCTGTCCTTAGATTCAAGGTAATATGCAAGGAGAAAAGGGAATAGATGGAAAAAAGGCAACAATAAGAATTATTACCAATACTAGGGGAAGCAAAACCAAAAAACAAAACAAAAATTCTGCAAACAACAAAGATCTGAACCTAGAAATTGAAAGGGCTGTGAGTTCTAGACAGGATTAATGAAAACAGACACAACCGTAGGCAAATTCTGGTAAAATCTCTGATGCCTTGAGATGAAAAAAAAAAAAATGTCATAAGCATTCAGGCAAAAGAAAAAGCTTACCTTCAAAGAAAACAAAAATCAGGTAGGCAGTACGCTTATCACCTACAACACTGCAAAGCACAGTACCTTCAAACTAAGTACAGCAAAAGTCTGCAGCTCAAGAACCTTCTACCAGCCAAGACATAATTAACCAGTCAGGATGGGAGAAAGATAATCTAGGGCTTGCTGTAACTGAGAGAGTAGTATATTATACACATGCCTCATTTGAAAGAGACACTTGAAAAAAAATACTCCAAATCAATAACACATATGCCCAAACTGTTTTGTTTCGTTTTTAACAGGGAGAGATTAATAAAAGAGCATACAGCATTGAGCAAGGAAGCAACAAAAAGGCTCCCGGAGAATGGATATATAATGAGTGATAAGTGAAGACTTAGGAAGTACAACAGGCAACTGTAAAGGAGATGTATTTTATTAAACTATCACAGAAAAAAAAAATAGGAATAGGAGGTAGAAATAAGGAGAAGATAAAAGCATTTGAAAAGGTTTATGTTGTTGGGATGGAAGACAGAAGGAAATGGAGGAATAAAAGTAGCCTAAAGTCACTGTCCTTTGTGAGAAGTAACAGGGAAGCAAACAGTGCATTTTGGTTGTGGCTCTATTTTACTACCACGTAACAGCAGCCAACTGTATTTTATTGAAATAGCAGAAAAAGGATTAGCAATCACTATTGAGATAAGAGAAATAAAGTAAAACCTCTATATTGACAAGACAGTTGTTCATATCTCAATTTTAATCCTCTTTGTATAAAAATACATATTCAACAGATATGTGAATCATGTATTGCTTATTTAATACATTAAAAAAAACCAGGTAGAACAACAGATATTTCAGCAAAAAGAGAAGCTTTTGGACAATAATGAAGTATAAACTGCAATGATGACTTGTCTGCCAAATGAATATAAGAAATGCCTTAGTTATAATACGTAAAGAGACAGCATCTAAAAATCACTGAGGAAATTACCTAGAAAAGGAAAGAAAAAATAAACTAATATTTAAATGCTTCTACGAAATTCTTTCTTAAGAAAGAATTCTTTCCAAATCACTTATGAATAATATGCATCCGAAATGAGCATCTGTATCATTGCAACAGTTTATAAACCATGTATATAAAGACTGACGTTAAAATTCATGCAAATTCTTACATAGAAATCGCGTGATGGATGGTGTTCATCAGAAAGTAAAAGTATTGCACTGAAGCTGGGAAAACAAAGTTACATAGTCTCTCAAATCTTTCTGTTTATAAGTTTCATAAAGGAAAACATGTAGCCACATGGTTATGACGTTTAGAAACATCACTTTACTCAAAACAAAATACCCTAAATCTGCAGCATTGGGTATACATTAGTCAGTTGGAACATGTGATTGGCAGCAAGTTACTTGGAGACATCAGCATAATAAAAATGAAGACAGCCAATAGTTTTGACATTCTTATGACAAGAAGAAAAAAGAACAGTGTGAAATGTGGGAGGTGTATGGGCAGGAAAAAATGACATAGAACATATGGAGAAAGTATAAGTAAAAAGGAGGTGTCTTGAGATTGTGACCTAGACAATGTGTTCTTTTTGATGCCGGTCTGCTTTCCCAATGGCTTAGGAACAACTGAGTTTTACCAAGAGTTTGTGAATTCCTATTTTTTCTCCCAGGCCGCCTGTCAGCATCACTGATTGGAGGAATTTATCAGCCATCTCACCTACATCATGGCTTTTTTTAGTTCCCTTGGGTTGCTAATTGGGACAACTCAATACCGGCATTAATCTCTTTAAATCTTGCCACTTGCAAAGGTGGTTTATCTTCTCTCAGTGAGGTAGAATGGAAAGACAACATAATTCCATCAGAGTTATTAGGGTTCTTAAAGCTTTTCTAACCCAAACCCCTTATATCACAGGAGAGGAAACAAATGCTCTGAGATATTAGGTTACAGGTCTAAGGTCACAGATAGTTGGAGCCAAAATAGAACCAGGGTCTTTGTAATCCCAGACTAATGCATTTTCCATTATTATACATTGATCATCAAAGTATCTTTAGTGGAATTCAATTGAAATACAGTTCTCTGTACTTCTGTCTACTTACATACAAATTTACTGTAATCCAGTAACAATTCTGTTGGCCTTTTTTCCTACAAATCCATCTTGAATACTATGGTATGTATTTAAAATGTGTATAATGAAATAGTAATAGTTTTCATTATTCTAATAACTATTGTTAGAAGGGTTAAAACTCCTTTTGAATTATTTTATAACAGAGCATAATACCTAAATTCCTAACTTGATTAAAGTTATGGGCTTTGCATCTAAGAATCATCAAATAAGGTAGAAAGAAAGTACTCCCTTTGCCTTTATCTAGAAAAGATTGTGAAGATTCGTTATTTCTATCTTAAATTGTTTGAAAGAAATTATTGGTGAAGTCATTTAGGTCTAGAATCTTCTACATGGGAAAACTTTAAATAACAGATTCTAATTTTCTATTACTCTTGCTAGTTTTTGTAGGTTCTGTTTTTGAAGGAATTTGTAAATTTCAGTTTTGATTTTCAAACTGATCTAACATCATTTTATCTTTTTCTTTTAGTATATGTAATGTTCACCTTTTTGTAACTAATATTGGTAATTTATTTTTCATTGATCAATCGTGCTATTAAAACTATTAATCTTTGAGAAGGACTAATTTTTGGTCTTACTGATATTTTTCTACCATATATTTGTTTTCTCTTTAATTATTTACAGCTCTTTTCTTTAGTATGTCTTTTCGTCTATTTTTTGCGGTTACTTATTCTTTTTTAGTTTCTTGAAATGGAAGCTTGAGTCATTGTTTTTTACTTGGTTATTCCTTTCTTACATATAAGTTTAAGGCTATAAATTATCCCCTATTCACTGTTTTAGCTACATCCCACAAGTTTTGATATTCCTTCATCAAAATTTAGATCAAAATATTTTAAATTACCAATGTGATATCTTCTTTGACACAAAGATTAGAGTATAATATTTAATTTTCAAGCAATTTGTGTTTTTTCTAGTTATCGTTTAGTTTTTTATTCTACTTCAATTCTTTGTAATTAGATAACATAATATGAATAATCTATATCTTTTGGTATTTGATAAGCCTTGGTTTATAAACTAGCATATGGTCAGTTTTGGAAATGATTTATATGCACTTGGAAAGGTGTAATTTGTGTGTATAATTTCTGTTGTGATTGGAGGCAGCATCCCGTATCTACTAATTAGGTCAGGATTCTTTAATATGTTGTTCGAATCATCAATATCCTTATTTTTTTTTTTTTTTTTTTTTGCAGCTGGCACGAAAATAGTTTATTGAGGGGAAAATCAAGGGGCGAAGGGTCAGGTGGGAAAGTGCTGGAATGTGAAGAATCTGCCCTTTTCTTTAGGAACTAGAGCAGGTGGAGCGCTGTCGGACAGTACCCACACAGGGTTCGGAGCTGCCCAGGGTCTCTGGGGCAAGGGCAGGGGCAGAGGCAGAGCCAGAGGCAGGAGTAGGCAGGTTGGCCTCCGTTAGCAGCGCTGCATCTTCCCAGGAGCCTGAACCATCACTGGCCTCAGGCTCCAGCTCCTCCTCCCCACTCAGGGGCTGCTGATCTGGTTTCTCTTCCTCAGACAGCTGACCCTCTGTCCCTGAGGGATCTTCAGGGCTCTCACCGTCCTCTGTTATATCTGATAGCTGGGTTGATTCCTCCTGGCTTTCAGGCCCTGTGTCTGACTGATGGGTAGAGATCCTTCGCTGGCCTTCCTTTCGGGAATTGTCCCTTTTCCGGATGTTAACCTGCAAAGAGAAGCGCTGTTGGGGCCAGATGCCTCCCCACACCCACTGCATGTAGTTGAAGACCACGATGACGCTGAGGAAGGTGAAGTTGCTGGCAACACCTATGAAGGCGCAGGTCATTGGGAAGTTGTACAGCAGGTATCTGAGCCCTGTGAAGTGAGCGTGGATGCGGAGGTGGGCTCCGTACATCTGGATGCGCTTGCTGTGGATCTCGATAATCGCTCCGGTGGTCGGCACATATGAGTTCTCTCTATAGTCCGCATAGAGCTCCACCTCCAGAAGCTGCTTCTGCTCTGCAAAGCCAAACAGCAAGAGGCTAGAGAAAACCAGCGTGTCAAGCATCTGGAGCAGGTCTGAGCGGTAATGCAGCATCACCGAGCGTGAAGAAGTAGAGATGATTCGGCCGCCTTGGGTGTAGCATGAAACGGTGACCAAGAACATGCCCAAATCTTGATTCACAGGGGACTCTGGCAGCTCCAGCTCTAAGGTAATGCGACATGGCTGTCCATACATCAGCACCCGATCGCGTCCAGCCTTAGCCAGTGAGACATTTGCAACAGGGAAGGAGCAGAGTGAGGTGCTGGAGGAATCACAGTCGGTCCCCAAACTGCAGTAGCAGTCTCTGGGCACGCCATGCTAAGACTTGGCCCACTTCCTGAGCCCACAGTAAGGCAGGTACTGGTGGATCATTGACCATGGCCGGGAGAGCAGAGGGTCTGGCCCCAGGTTCAGGCCTTGAGTTCCTAGCTAGTCTGCCACATGGACACCAACCCTGGCCATGAGATGAGGCAGCTGATGGTTCCTAACCGCGCCACCATGGAAACCAGCCCGCCGGCCGCCGCAGCCCTGCAGACTCCATCAATATCCTTATTGATTTGAGGATGCCTGTTCTATCAGTTACAGAGAGGGTGTGTCCAAGTCACTTGTTATGATTACGTTTTTTGTCTATGCTAGAGTTTTTTGCCATTTATTGCTTGAAATGTCTTAATCGTTGTGAGTGCTTTCAAATTTAGAACTATGATACCTTCTTTATAATTATGTATTATTCCTCTTTATCTGAGTTTGCTTCTTGCTTTAGATTTATTTTTCTCATATTAAAAGACTCCAGCAGCTGTCTTTTGTTTACTATATGAATGGCATCTTTTTACTCTTTTAGTTGTGATATTTCTGTGTCTGTATATTTAAAGTGGATCACTCATAAGCAATATATGTTTGGTATTATTTTTAATACATTCTGGCAAATTTAGTCTTTTAATTATTATTTAATGGAAAGAAATGATGTATTTTAAGATTATTGACCTATAACTGTTTATATATACTATTTTATCATCCATGTTCTATTGTACCCAACTATTCGTATTTTTTCTTCTCTCCTTTAGATTAATAACATTTTTTCTAATACTTTTTCTCCTCTAGTAAGTTTTTCATAATAAATTATTTACTAATCCTCTAGTGGTTACCCAAAAGTATACATACCTCAATAATTACAGTCAAAAATATTGCTTTTACTACTTTCTAATAATGCTAGAACATATAACATGTTGATTTGATTTATACTCCTCCAACCATATGTCTGCATTATTGTCACTATTGCATAAGTGATTATAGATTTACATACACTCCTAATTAACTCCAAAAGACACTATTATCATTGCTTTGTATGCTCAATATTTAATTATATTGATCCATGTATTTCTCATTCCATTTTTATTTCTTCCTGCATCTCTATGCTTCCTCCTCCTTGAGGAAGTGCTTATACTCTATTATAGTGGAGGTGCCAGTGATACATTTCTTCAATTTTTGTCTTAAATGTCTTTATTTTACCTCCACTTTCACAGAGTAAAGGATTATTGGGCTGGCAGTTATTTTCCTCCATCGCCTTCATTGCTTTTAAGATGCAATTCCATTATCTTCCAGCTTCCACTGTTCTTGTTAGGATGTCAGCTGTTCGTATTACTGTTGCTATTTTCAAAATAGTAAGTCTTATTTTTCTCTGGCTGCTTTACCCTACCCCATATCTCCGGGCTGCTTTTAAGATTTTTTTGTTATTAGTTGTCATCAGTTTTACCATGATGTGCTAAGTTTCATTTTCTATGTATTTTTCTACTCGAGATTCACAGAGCTTCTAGAATTGGTGGGTTAATATCTTTTATCATATTTAGAACATACAGAGCCATTATCTCTTTGAATATTGATTCTGCCACAAATTCTGTTTTTCTCCCACTACTCCAATTACTTGTATGTTAAACATTTACATTATATTTCATATCTCTTATTCCTTTATTTTGCATTATTTTATTTCCTCTGTGCTTTAATTAGATAGGTTCTATTAAACTATCTACCAATTTTTTTATTCTTCTTATCTTCTGCTGTGCCTAATCTTCTGTTAAACCCATTTACTTAGTAATTAATTTATTATATTGTTTGGTTCTACAATTCTCACTTGATTCTTCTTATAGATTTTACTTCTCTGAAGAAATTATGAATGTTTCTATCTATTGTTATTCACTTCCTTCATTTTCTTGAACACATAAATCACAGCCATTTTTAAATCTTTGTCACACAATGCCAATTTCTAGATCACCTGTGTATACATTTTGTTGATAGTTGTTTTCTCTTGATTTTTTTGTCAGTGATATTTAATGTCAGACATTGTGAAAAACTGTAAAGGCTTGAGGTTATATTATCTTCTTCCAGAGAGATTTGTCTGTTTTTCTGCTAAGCATAAAGAATCAGAGGTGATCACCTTACTCCAACCAGGGACTAGTCTTCTCTGAGGCTGGACTGCTCACCTTTAGAAGTCTACACCTCTTATTAGTGGTTCTGTACAGCTTTCAACTGAACATCTACTGTGCTCACCATGCTCATTATCCCAGCATGCCTTGAATATTAATCTTTGTTTCTTTAATACTACTTTCCAAAAGATTTTTACCTTTCTTTTTTTCTTTGTTTCTTTTTTCTTTTTGTGTCCCAACTTATTCAATTTCAGAATTCAGCAAATGTATTGAGTGGAAAACAGGCAAACAGGCTGTGTTTTGAGGTTTCTTAAGTCATTTCTTCCCACTCCACTCCATGATATCACCATAAGTTCTGTAGGTTTTTCTTTCACTAAAGAGTAGCCCTCTGCCTAGCACAGCCCCTAGTCTCAGCTTTCTACATCCAGAAGAAGCAAATGTCCCCAGGGAAAAAGTAGAGACCAATCATGAGCTCAACTTTCCTTGGGTTTCTCATCTCTGAAATCTTAGCCATTCCAGTCATCACTATTTCAAAACCTCTCTGATGCATTTATGAAGATTTTTAATAAATGGTTAGCTATTTTCTAGTTCATTTCAACTGAAGCATTATTTCACCATGAGTCACTCTATTGTATCCAGAATCCTCGTTATATTTTTGTTTATTACAGCGTGTAACAAATCCCATCAGTTCCTTCAAAGGTTGTCATGAAAGACAGACAGACTTAAGTACCTGAAAAAAGTTTTGCACAGTACAAAGGAATTTACAATTCTACTTAGAATATGGTAAAATTATGGTATCGCAGCCTAAGATTAATGCTGCACTGAGTATGCATGTCACAGGCTTTTATATAAAAGACACAGAGGAACAATGAAGCATACCTGTTATTTCCAGCAATAAATCTTGATGCACAGACCTGAAGAAAGAGCTCTTTTATACCAATTCTGTAATATAACAAGGAAATGATACAGTGAAGTTCCATGTTGCTCATAATTTTAGAGTTTAGAGTTGCTTTTTTATCTGTATGTTTAGAGGAGAAACATTCATCTTTTTACTAAAACATGTAAAATCATTTCAATACAAGTGTCATATTTATAAAATTAATAAAAAATATCATCTTTAGTGGCCTAGTTTTATATCCTATTACTTAATCTTATGATAATGGATCTGGCATAGTTTCCATGCTATTATCGAAATGAAAATCCAAAAATTATTATAATCCTCTGGAAGTTTAACTTTTCACCATTCATTCCTATAGGGAGACAAGAAAGAGTAAGAATATAATGTCTCTTTCATTCTGGGGTATATTCTTTTTTTTTTTCCAGCGTATTACAAGGATACAAATGTTTAGGTTACACATACTGTCTTTTCCCCACCTGAGTCAGAGCTTCAAGTGTGTCCATCCCCAGATGGTGTACACTGCACCCATTAGGTACGTATATATCCATCCCCTCTACACCTTCCACCTGCCCAACACTCAATGAATGTTACTTCTATATGTGCACTTAAGCGTTCGTTAGTTAAGCCAGTTAATACCAATTTGATGGTGAGTACATGTGGTGCTTGTTTTTCCATTCTTATGCTACTTCACTTAGTAGAATGGGCTCCAGCTTGGGGTATATTCTTAAAAAACATATGCTATTTTAGGTGACTTTCCAATGTTTTTAAACCTACAGTTTTCTGTATGTAATAAAGTGTTCCCTTCTTACCTTCTAAAACTGGAAAATTTCGCCTTAGTCCTAAAAACAGAAGAGTGGAATATTTTTTCCGCATTTGGGTTTTATGGGTTTGTTTCAATTTGTTGAGGCAATCATAAGGTAAATATATCATACATGGTGTCTTCAGATAATATAATCAAACTTCCTTGATCCTTATTGCTCTTGGAACTTATGTGAAGTCCAAAACGGGGTGCTAAAGGTCATCTATACTATAACTAATGAGAAAAAGAAGCAATACTAAGAAAATTAATAGTACAAACAGGGATATCGAACAATAGGTTAATAATCAAAGGACCTAACTTCTAGGCCTGGTTTCATCAATTATTCATATGTGACAGGTGGCAAATCATTTAACTCCTATGTACCTCTCACTTTTTATCTGTAAAATGGACCTAAAAATTCCTAACATACTTGTTAGGTCATTGTGAGGAATGCATGGAAGGTGCTTTTCAAGTATTCAAAAACACCTTCAAGGAAGTAAGAAATCACTATATAAATTTAAGAATCAGTATTTGTATAACTTTAAGAGGCATTTTTATTGTATTTCACAAAACAAACCATCTTCTGGCACTTGAAAACCTTGTCAGCTTTCATTTGCATAAAATTATTACTCTAATTACAAATTATTTTCATGTATTCATTAAAGCAGGTTCATCAGGGCGTCTATTAGGCAATTCTTTATTAGCTTAATTCAAATTGTGTATATGAAAGTAATAAAGCTATGTTTCTCTTTCAATAATAATTTCAGAGGGTCTCTATTCATCCAACTAACTGAAGTAATACTTTAAATTTTGTGCAGTCTGAATGTGAGAGAAAAGACCCTGAAATTGCAAAATGGGTTTAATGCAAACAATAACACTCTCTTTGATGACAATATCTAAATATTATGCACATGGCCAATGTTTGATTCTGCAATTGCCATTTCACACTTAAGAGAGAAAGCCTACATTCAAAAAAGAAACATTTAAAAACATGACTACGTATCATTAAGTAACTTGAAGAGATCAGGACTCATAACTCCCTGGTCTCTGGCTAATTTGTATAATCTTGATAATTGCTAGTTGCCTACCTAAATTATCAACACCAGCAGAAATAGGAAAAATGCATTTATCTCTTTATATGTATAAGACAAATAAAAGAAGCATATATCACTGTACAGTCTGTCATCTCTTGTTTCTTTTTGTCCTTCCACACTCCCTTTCTCCAAGAACACTAGCATTCCTGAGCATGCCAAGTATTTTGACTATTTTGTGTCTCTGCTACTTTCTCAGCCTGGACTACCCTTCTCTCTACTTGTTAAAAACCTTCTTGATCTTCAATCTATGGATCTTCAGACCTTGCTATAATCCCACATATTCTGCCTAGGGATGGGTAAGTT